AGCATCCTCCCCACCAGCTCTCTCCAGGCACCCCATAAACTTCTCTGGGGTTATCTTGGCGTGTCCCTTAACATGATAATCTTGAGAGTGTTAATTGTGCGTGTACTGCAAATGTATGTTTTGTCTGTGCTTGTTTCTTTCTTTTTTTTTTTTAATTTATTTTATATAATGAGTTTATATTCCGAAATCAACACTAAATTCTCTTTTCTGACAGGTATCGTTTATTTCTCTTCCTTATCTCCATAGTAATATGCTTTGTTGTGACCAAGTCCTTTTGACCTGCTGCTTGCCCATCTTTCTGATGGGCATGAGGTACTACTTCAGTAGAAAAGTTATCCTGCACTATCTCGATTGTGCGCTGCATACAGACATGTCCGATATTGAGCAATATTACATGAAACCGCCAGGTGAGTACGAATTCCCAGAGGGAGCCTGTCCCCAGCCCTGCTCCTCGGGGAACATGGCTGCTCCCTGCTGCTGGCGCCTTTTCCTCCTGTCAGCAGCACTGAGCAAGCTCAAAAGTCTCCAGAATGCAGCTCTCTAGCCACACCAGGCACACAGCCATCTCTGTTTGGTTCTGATTTGGGGTTTTGGGGGTTGGTTTTTCCCCTTTTCCCCTCAAAGATGTCTAGTCATCCAAGGCAGCCTCCATCCACCCTGGAGCGCAGCACTCCGGGGTCCCACAGCCTGTCTGGGGACCAGGATGTGGGTGCTGGGGGGCACTGGGGCTGGGTGATGCAGTTTATTTACTGTAGCCCAGGTCCAATCCGGCCCTTGCTTCTTGTGTTAGGCATTTCTTTGCTCCTTGCGCTTGGTATTAGCTCTGAGAGTGGGAGGAGGGAATGATGAAAGGCTTTTTAGCCCAAATGCATAGAGGAAACTGTTTTAGTTATTGCACCCATTTCCCTGTGTTATGCAAGAAGAACATGCTTTAATGCAAGTGTTTTGGAAGAGGCACAGATCAGGTATGTAAAGGGATGTTGCCTGGATTTAACGTTCATCCATTTGTTACATTTATACATGTAATTAAAAATATAGTATCCAGTGATAATACTTGATTGTTAAGCTGTAAAAGATCTCCTATGTGGCAATTTTTTGAAATAAAAAGGCCCTTTAGAACTTGTGAGGTGCTATTTCCCTTCTTGTAGGCACACATCCGTGTTGAGGACCAGAGCAAAGGGATGACTGGGCAGTTGCTTGGGGTTTGGGGTTTGAGGTTTGGTGGTCACGTAGCACAAGCAGTGAGCTGGGAGAGCAAGGCAATGCCAGTATCCCGCTTAGTTCCATCTTCTTGGGGCACCTACTCTGTCATTTTTTCCATGTAACCATGTTTTCACTGTGTCATCGCTGTTCCCTGAGTGTGACTGACCTCTTCCTGGGCGCTCTTAGAGGATTCATGGGAAGCAGTACCATAGCCACAAACTTCCCTTCACTTATATTGCTCAAGATCACATTTTGCTAAAACAACGCTCCTGCTATAATGAAAATCCCCAAATATCTTGGATTCACTTGCTTTAGATTTCATTTCCCATCGTGGTGTGTATCTTGTGCAGGTCTCGTCCCATCTTCCACATGGGTTGTGTTTCATTTACAGCAATTGTTCTTGGAAAAATTGATGTGTGACTTGTATTTAAAAACCTCCATTGAAGGTTGTGTTGCAAAAATAAAAGGTCTCCTAAGCAAAACATTTCCAAGCCTCTGAGGTCCAACAATGTATTATGCTGGATAAGGTAGCAAGGGGCTCCAGTAGAATAGGAACACATACTATGGAGTCACTAGGTGTATGAGCTGCATCGCTCATCAGTGCCTGGGTCTTGTGTGATCACGATTCAGGGCATGGATCAAAGTGCTTGTATTTAAAACACTATGTATATAAGAAATAAAGGAAAGGATCTCAGAGGAAGAGTAATACCCTCAATTTGCCTAGGCTCAGTCATATAATCTGGTTCAGCTGTGTTGCCAACATGTCTTTGAAACATTAGCATTGCTTTTATTTGGTACCTAAAAGGGCTGATTTCAATTTTAGAGCAAATGTGTGGGCTTTAATTTTTGACAGAATTTAATAGTGTGTAATTAGGCTTCTGCCATGCCATAAAAACCCCAGATTTATGGGATTGGTGGTGCTTTTTTAAGGTTCTTGGTGATAACGGTGTTAAAGCAGGTTGGCTGGAGTCATAACTAGGTAAAGACCAAAGAGGCTTTGGGGAGGAGAAGGATGTCTGTGGGTCAGGATGGGCACCACCAGTGATGCCTGTCTGTGTGCTGTGAAGCTGCGTGGTGCTATTTGGTGTATCTGTCACAAGGCACGAAGCCAGTGTTTTTCTCCTGTTTCCCCCCAAAATACAGTTGCTGGTTTCTTCCCTGTAAGACAGTGGTATAAATGCAGTTATCTTGGAAAAGCCTTGAGTTTTGTGTGCCTCAGAGGCTCTCTGACCTGCATTGTCTGCCTGAGTGTACAGAGACAGGCAGTTATGTGCCATACTGGCACTGCCCATCCTGCTCAAAGGACAGAAAAATGACAATAAAACAACTTCCAGCCTCAAGTTTGTGTTTTATTTGTCTAGTTTACAAATTAGCACACAGGCAGAAACACGTGCAGTGGGAACGAGAAGGGCTTGTTTTCCTGTGTAGTGCTCCAGCTGAGATATTAGTGAGAGCTTTCTCAATGAGGCATTAGAGAAGAAATGGCCACAGTGAGGGTAATTTGGTGTGGGAACAGGGACCCAGAGAGGCTGGAGATGGTCAGAGCTTGACTAGACGAGTTAGAAACCCAGCCTAATGTAACTGCATCTCATTGTGGCTTTGCCTAGAGCACAACAGGCAACTTCTTGCTCCTTCTGGAGAACCTTTGTTTACCTGCTTGAATATTGTTTTTCTAACATGGGAAATAGAGGAAGGGAGCATTTTTGGGGTGGTTTATGAATTCTTGTTTCTTAAGGTGATGAACACAAAGCTAAAACTGGGATATGGTTTTAAGGTCTCAGATTTTGATGTTGGTTGTGGCTTTGCTGAGGTTTTGCTCTTGGCATCCATGGTACCTGAGCATGAGAACCTGTTTGCAGTGGGCTCCCTATGGTACCCTGAGTTGGGTCCCGTTGTACAGAGCATCTATAGCTAATAGCCCCTGGCAAGGCAGACATCTACAGTGAGGGAATACTTTAAATATTAGAAAGGGTCATTCTTGGTGGTTTTGCCAAAGCACCTGCCAAAACTGTGGGTTGGCTTTAAAACCAAACCAAAAAGACTTGGTTTGCAATGGGATACTGTAAGCACCCAGCTTAATGACGTGTTGAGCAATCCCGTGGGTTACATCATATTACAGTGTTTCTGCAGTTTTCTGCTCCTCTCGCCTTTAAATTAGTTATTGTTTTAAATTTCCTCCACTGGGTTTTGTATGAACTGAGAAATATGTGCTGACTGTGGTTCTGCACAACTACACCAGCCAAAATCTATGTCTTTGTTTTCTCTTGCCCTCCTACACCTAAGCTAAGGATCTGGCAGAACATTTAGGCCAGTGCTTAATTTTGAGCTTGTATGCAGAGGAGGTGACTTGAAATTGCTGTTGATTGGAAAGGAATTGCTTGTGTTGACTCCTGTGCTGGCACCTTAAAACAGGAGCTTGAATGGTTCAAACACCTTCCTGAGCTCTTTGTAAACTTGCATTTTTCCATTTAAAATAGCATTTATTGGAATTTTCCTTTTTAGGCACTGGAGTGGTGGAAAAGAAAGGAGTTGGATAATGGGCTTAATTGTCAACCAGAATAACTGGGCTCTAGTAAACAGAAAAAAAAAGAAGGAATTAATTTTAAATAGAGCCCTGCCTCTTGCATTTCTCTATGCAAATAAGAAGAGCACAGCTGGAGCGTCTTTTATGGTCTGATGATTTTGACGACTAATCAATTTTACAGTGTCTCTTCAAGCTTCTGTCCCAGTTAGTTGTGTTGTATATATATTTTGCAGTGGTTGGTGGTGTGTTGGAGAGATTCTTGTGAGGCTGAGGTCTCTGCTGGAGGGTGATGGAAACCAGGACTCCTTCCCTCTGATGCAAACCCGCTGCTCTCTGAAACGAGCAGAGCCGGGGCTTTAGCTGACAAGCAGCATGTCTGTCTTTGTGGTTTGCAGTGTTATCTCCTGCTGCCGGCTGTCCCAGCAGGGTCTGCTGAGGGGTGTGCAGTGGTGGTGGTGGTGGGAGCTGGCCTTTCCCAGTGGTTTTGGGTGCTGGAGATAAGCTGGGTGCTTGCATTGCAGTGCTCAGTGCTGCCGGGCAGGAGGGACGGGCAGCGTGGCTGCAGGACCTGGTGGAGTCTTCAGGGCATCTGCCTTGTGTAATGCAGTAGATGAAGCCCAAGTGGCTGCTGCAGGAGGTGTCGGGTCACATTAACCACATCATGCTTAGAGATTGTGGGTTTCAGCAGTGCCTGCACGTTAGCTCTTGCTCTTTGGGCAAGTGGGTGCCTCTGGTTGCCTCCTGCTGTGAGTGAATGTGCACTTGTGCTCTCCTGTCTCTGTCCAGGGCTGAGCAGAGCCTCCCCATCCTGCTACTTTTTGTCCCCTGGTACATGAGGGTGTGGATGAAGAGCTGCAGTGCACTGAGATCCCAACTTCCCTGGCAAACAGGGCCCTAAGGAATCATAGAATCAACCAGGCTGGAAAAGACTTTTAAGATCATCAAGTCCAACCATTATCCCAGGACTGCCAATCCACCACTAAACCCTGTCACTGAGAGATGGCTGCATGGGCTTGGCT